GCAGTAGCAGAGTTAAATTACTGAACAACCAATTGGTGTTAGTCTCCACACTATCAGACTCCACACATTTGGTGTCAGAAAAAAAATATCACAGGTCAGAATCTTAAACTACCCCCGGTTAGTGTTTGATCCCTGGTAAGAATTGAGACCCTGGAGGACAGAGCTTTGTCATGCTGTGAGGAGAGAATAGTAGAGTGTGTGTGGAGCTCCCAAAATGAAATTCTCAGCTGCTCAGGTTTCCATCAGTCACTATTTAGCAGTGAGCCATCCTAGGCTGCATCTCACAGTGAGAGTGGTCTCCCATGCTTGGAACATGATGAACCCACTGAGTATGCAGTTTCTTCTGGACTACGGATAAAACAGTCTGCTTCTCTAAGCTGCAAGCCTTTTGTTTTCTTTATAAAAACTTTTCTGTTATATAGTTCCAGTTTTTCCAAGTATTTAAGAATTTTCTTCCATTATTTGAGTGTAAGACGTTTATTTTCTTCATTGAAAGTCTGAGTGGGTTGAGTGATGTGATCTGAAGAAGGAAAGATAATACTTTAAATAAATTATTTGTTTTATTCTGAGTTTAAGAAATAAGAAATAATCCTCCATGGACTCACCATGGATTGACACTGGGATTGATACCCAGGTGGGGTTTTCTGAAGTTTCCTATACTTGGGTAAAGTACAAGAAGGAGGTCTGGAGAATCAAATTGATAGATAAACCAATTACCTCCAAGTCCCATGGCCACTAGAGAAACAGATGAAGTGGTCAAGGTCCCTACAATCCAGAAACTTCCCATTTGTTGTAAATGGGTAAATGGTTGAATTGAGCACCTTATGGTCAGTACAAAGATGGGAGGTGTCCAAGGTACTTGGCCTTTATTTGGGACCTTTTCTTATGTTGCTGTTCTAAGTTTGGATGTCACTGCCTAAAAGGCCAATCATTATTATTATATCTATTGTTTTTATTTTATTAAAAATAACTATTTAGCTTCTAATATTACTGTCCTAGAAAAGCCTGAGGGTTTTTGGTAAAATTGCTTGTTACTATATGTTATAAAATAGACAATTAAGTGGTGTAAATACATTAAAAGTATACAAACTCTGGGAGTCAAGTTTCTCTTGAGCAGGGTTAGGAAATACAAACCTGGAAACATCCCAGGGGCACAGAGTTCAGAATACTATTTAGGGCTCGCTTCCTGTCACAGCCCTGCTCAGAGCCATCCTCTTCTGAGCCTCAGCCAGACCTGGCCGCAACCTGAATTCTCACAAGACTGATTGAAGGGGTCAGAGTTTTGAGTGGCTGCTCCTAGTGTCTCCAGAGCTGGTGCATGTAATTTTCCCAAGCCCAAAAGCAGATAAATGGGTGCAAAGAACTGTATTTTGGGGGTTTCTAATTGCTTTCTTTTTCATTAAAACCTGTGTTTCTAGAGCCAAACCACCCAGCAACCTGTTCTTCATTCCTGCAGATCCAGTAGTGACTTCTGACGTTATAACAAAGTAAATATAAACACAACTATGAAAAAAATCCTTCTGTCTACATCCACCCTTTCTTTCTATACCTTCCTCAGCTTTTATTCTATACATTTTCTTTTTAAATCACTGGCAGAGAACCAAGAAGAAATAGAAAGTGTGGGCCCTTCAACTAAATCCTGGAAGTTAGGGGGACACTTACTACCCATGTCTCAGGGTGTTAGGAGGATTCACTTCCGTAGTGTGGTTGTGGTCCCCAGCACAGTGCACCACAGCATATTTCAGAGCACATAGTGCATATCCTGTAAACCCTGCCCTAAAGCATATGTTTAGGTTGTTTTTCAAGGGCAGATCTCCTCAGACATTGCTGCCTTCTTGAGTCAGCAGAGAATGTGCTCTTTCAGGATGGAGATAGGTTTTCTTTATTTGGGTTAAAAGTATTTGTGTTGTGATGAGTATTGAGTATTAAGGACCCTGCATGCTGGGCCTGCTTTCTCTACCTGAGTGCTGCTGACTGTGGGTCTGTGGAGCAACATCAGCATTCCTTCACAGGGAACTTGTTTTTAAAACCCTTTAAGAGACTACTTAAAACCTGCAGATTCACAGTTTCTTTGAATGAGACCCAAAATACCACAAGATTTATGTGCCAATTAAAGCTTGAGAAATGTTTCTTACTAAGTGGTCCTCAGCCCAGGCTTCCAATTATGATCACATGGCGAATTTGAAAAATACTGTCACTTTTGTCATCCCCACACTCTGTGTGTTGATCTGGGTGGAAGCATCCATGTTGTTTTCATTAATTGCACCCACTCTAAGGTAGAGTCAGAGTAAAGCACAAAGGCTCCCAGATACATCTGTGAGAGTTGAGTTCAAAAGGAAGGTCACCTGTTCTGCTCTGCTTGGGTTTTTCTCAAGCAGGTCAGTGGGGCCATAGTCTCATTGCTGTTGCAGAAATTGCTGGTGTTTGTGGCGAGGGAGGACACTTGAGGGCAAGAAAGAGAAAAAAGTCACACATTGGTCTCCATGTAGGAGCTCATTTTTCTTGAATCTGTCTTCTGTAACAACAGACAGAATACAGTGGACTTTTTTTTCACTTCTGGGTCCTTCTCTCTGAGTGTGGTGGTAGCAGGTGAAGGATTGTGCTTATACCTTTAAAAGCATATTCTGGCCGGGCATGATGGTTCACGCCACTAATCCCAACACTTTGGGAGGCTAAGCTGAGAGGATAATTGCTTGAGCCCAGGAATTTGAGACCAGCTTGAACAACATAGACCTTGCCATCAAAATAAATAAATAAGATAAAAAAAATTAGCCAGGAATGGTGGTGTGTACCTGTAGTCCCAGGTAGCTGAAGGTAAAATGAAAGGATTACCTGAGCTGAGGTTGAGGCTGCGGTGAGCTGTGATGGTTGCCATTGCACTCCAGCCTGAGTGACAGAGTGAGACTCCAACTCAAAAAAATAAAGGCGTGTTCTCAGCATGTAGGTGTGTCTTGTCCAGATAATCTCACCTGAGAAGGAATCCCTAAGAAGCAGAAGAAAAGAAAGGCCCATTCTCAGATAACTGTGTCCCAGGACAGAGGCTGTGTCCACTTTTCCTACTGGAATATTTTTAGAACTGGCAAACCTTTACTTCTCTATTTGTAATGGTCCTGCCTAATGATTTTGTTTTAACTAGTTTTTTTGTTCTTGTGATATTCAAGGGGCTCTGAAAAACACGTCTTCCTACATAGCAAAGGCTTCTCTCTGTTCTCTCCATCTAGGCTTCTTAAATGCCATAAACAGTTACCAC